AGCCTTGTCTCGGTGGACAACACTGCTCAGTTCTCCTGGACAACTCCCCCTCTGGGGCTCTCACCGCCCGACATCTTCCCCTAAAACAAAGGGAGCATCCTGAGGTCACCCTCACGAGAGCGCTGCGACATGCACCCCGGTGCCAGGGACAGACACCCCGAGTCCTTCGGGTAGCTGCTGCCAACTGCAGTCACAAGAACCCCAAAACCACCCCTCAGGGTTTACCCCTGACATGCCCCGCAGGGGCCGGGCCAGCCCAGCCCAGCCCAGCTGCTCCTGGGGCACCAGGCGTGTGGCGCGCCCCGCGGGGTCCAGGGCGGGGTTCCTCAGCCGGGGAGAACCGTCCCTACGTGGGTGTCGGGAGACCCATGAACACCCCCCAAAGTATACAGAAAAGGGGGTCTTTTTTGCATTTTTATGCGCAAGAGGCCCAGAGCTTTGACCAGATTTTCAAAGGGACCCATGACCCCCGCCGGGTTAGGGACGTCCCAGGTAGAGAAGTGGGGCGGGGGCATGCCCAGGGCCCCTGGACTGGGGGAGGGAGTTTTCGCCTTGAGGTGGTTATTACATAACCTTTTCATAATTGTCAACAGTCAGTCCTTCCTTTTGTAGTTTCCTTTAGAACTGAGTTGAGCAATTTAGGTTCATATACAGAAAAAGGCAGGTAAAAAGAATAGAAAGATGGGTTCTGAATTTGAGAAAAACTCTTAAAGGGCCAGCCCAGGCTGCTGCGGAGCAGAGGATTTTCTGCACCTCATGGAACAGTAACATCAGACACTAAAGATCAAGCCCTTACTTCTAGAACCGATCCTCAAGGAACATACAAAAGGAAGGACAAACTACAAATGAAATGCCTGGCACTCTGTCAGAGAAAACGCCACAGGCGGGCAGGCGGCGGCCAGGGCAGCAACAAGCGTGCCCCCACCCCCTGCACACGGCGCGAGCCGCTGTCGGAAACTGACCCAGGACGGCCCCAGCAGCAGAAGCCCGAGTGCGGCAGAACCGGGTCAGCAGTGCCCGGGGCTCGCGTTTCATACCCACGCAGGGGCCGTGGCCCAGACAAGACCTTGCTCTGCTCGGCACGCCGTGGCGTGCGCACGGGTCCTGGCAGGGCCTCGCGCCCTCGCTGAGGGGAGCAGGGTGCGCCCCGCCCCCGGCCGCCTCTGCCCTCCGCCCGCGCGGGGGTCGGGTTAGGCCTGGGTCTGGGGCCCCTCCTGTGGCCCTCACCGCGTCCCTGCCTGCTGCGGGCGCTACAGCCGGGGCTCAGGCTGCCCCGGAGACACGGGCCCCAGGAAGGGAGCCGGCGGCTGAGCACCTGGGACCTGGGCGCCCTGGCGCCGGTGACGCCCCAGTGGCCAATGTGGTCCCTTCCTCCTGCTACCTCTTCAAGACCCCAAATTGCCATCTGCTCCCACCACACGGCAGGCCAGGCCCAGTGGCCGAAGGACAAGGGGCTGGTCCCACAGGCAGCACACCGCGGAGGGCAGGTCCGTGCAGGCCTCCCGGGCGCCCCGCCCACAGCCTCTCTGCCCGAGCACCGGAGCCCCGGAGCCCCAGGCCCCCGGCGGAGCAGGCCCGGCCGCTAACCCCGCACCCGCCCGCCCTCGGGAGGCCCCCTCCCACTGTCCCAGTCTGCTCGCGGCGGCCCGTCTGCTTCCTGACAACGGAAGGGCGCCGCAGACACAGTGAGGGTGACTCTCCATGACAGTGACACACAGGGGCGCTGCAGGCCTCAGGGACGAAGGCTGAGGTGACCTTTCCACTGTCACGAAGGGCCCACTCGAGAAGCTCTCGGTCAGTGTGTTACCAAACCAGGTCTGGAAGCAGCAGCCTTGAGCAGGGCCCTCAGCCACCGGGCGGCAGGTGGCGCAGGCGGAGGCCAGCCACCAGGGCCTTGGGCAGGAGACCCAGTGCCCTAAGGGGCCACACATGTGAATCATCAGGAAGCCACTGCGTGCAGTTGCTGGGGGACAGTGCGGAGAAGGAACTGAAAGGCCACTCCACGTTCACCACACTTGGAGGCCTACTCAATGCAAGTTTAGCGATGCACTGCGAAGGCGGCAACCCGCTTTCGTCCCAGCAACGGGCAGGTGGGCCAAACTGCAGGCACCGCACATGTGTGCGCAATGACCACAGACACTCCGCCACGCACAGCCATTGCGCCCGTCACCTTTGGGACTGGGGGGTAGGTTATGCTTGGAAATGAATACGGCATGTACAAAAGTTTCACAAATTTAAAAAACCAAACAAATCTAGGCAAGCTCTTCCTGGGGTAAAAATCTGCACATGAAAAAGTGAGAAAGAATGGGCTGGAAAAAAGTTGAGAAATCCTGGCTTGGGGCTTAAGACCAGCTTGCGGCAAAAAGAACAGGCCAGGCCCAACCCCACTCGGGAGGACCCTGGGCCGCAGATCGCGGCCCCTCTGCACACCCTGCCGTTGGCTCGGGGCTCCCCCACGCCAGCCCACGGGGCCCAGTCCCCCCTGCCCCCCTCCCTCGGACACCAGCGTGAGGCCCCCACAGGTGCCTGGCTTCCGACTGGCTCCCAGGGGCCGGGCTTCCCTCGCGGAGCCCTCCAGGGGCCTCCCCGCGCAGCCCTGCCTGCAGGCAGCGACAGCTCCCTGCAGGCGAGGGAGGCACAGGGCACCGCTGAGTCACGTGGTGTTCCGCTGTGGCCTCTGCCCGGGCGACACTCCTTTTGTTTTTCCCACAGTTCCCAGTACATTTCCTGGTGGAGATGGTCAATCAGGAGAGAGAACTCCAGATGGAATCCTTAAGGTCTCTGGGCCTCAGTTTTCTCATTTATAAAACAGGCCACCACTGCCTCTGTGCAGAGCGCGCAGTCGGCCAACTCAGACGGTAACTCTGAATCTAGGCGGCAGTTCAGGCAAAGTCTGGCCCCGCTCCGTACGCACAGGTGTCTGTCAAAGACACAGGCAGCCACGGGACTCCTGCGGAGCGGCGAGGACCCCAGAAACACTCGGAAGAGAGATGACACCCAGGCCCTCCGACAGTAAAAAGCACAAAGGCGCCTGGCTCTAAGGGCGACTCGGTTCTTTGGAACGAATCATTAGCATCCCCCGCCTGTGGCCCGCTCACAGCGCCGGCCCTGTGCGAAGTTCTGACACCGTTCCCTTCAGAGTCTGCCCTGTATACGCAGCCCGCCCGGCACCCCCGCCCCTCTGCCTAGGCTACTGAGGTCAAGTGCGCCCGGGACTTGGCAGAGCGGCAGGAGCTTCCCTCCAGCTGCCCAGCAAGCTGTGTGGCCGCGAGAAGGCGGTGCTGCCGGAGAGGTGGGCCTGGGGCCACGCCTGCGTCGGATGCGCTCCAAGCCGACGCAGGGCTCTGCGGGCAGGGATAAATCCCCGGGAGGCCCAGGTTCTAAGGGATCATGAGGAAATCCACATAAAAATGGTTAAAAAACTATTTTCCAAAACCGTATCATAAGCCGGCAGAAACCACGGCCTGCACTTACTGGGCTTCCAGGCTCTCCCACAGACCCACAAGCCCTAATCAAAGACCTATCTGCGCCTCACACCACAAACTGACATCACCCACAGCACCCTTATCGGCACGCAGCCTCACCGCCGAGGCTGCTCAAGCTGTCGCAACAGACCAAGGACAGGCCGATAACCCGGAGGGTGACAATGCCGTTGAGGGCCAGCCCCTTAGGGACACTCATGTTCCCCTGGACGCAGAGCACTGCTGGATGCCTCTGTCTCTTCTCATGCAGTTTTGAATTCTTAGTATAACCGCCACTGGCTAGTTTGTGGCTTGTTGAAAACAGTCCCAATTTTATTTTGCATTTGATTAGTGTTAAACATCACTTTTTTCATGAAAAGTTACCAATGTTTTGCAGTCACAGTATTGAAAAGATACGATATCCCCAGCTGCAAAAACACAGTCTCAACGCACCTGTAAAACCCGGCTTTTCCTATGGGTAGAAGCATCCCATGCCCCCCACCCCCAGCCCACAGTGCGAGCGAAGACCCAGTACCCCACAGGTGGGCTCCGGGGTTCCCACCCAGGCTCGGCCACTTAATGTGTGGCTTTGGGCAAGTTACTTAAGCCCTGTGCCTCCTTTTCCGCTCTGCAAAATGAAAGTGGCACAGCACAGCCCCTGCCAGGTTCTGCAGAGCGCGTGGAGCCACTCACTGGCCTGGCCCAGCCTCTGCGTGGCATTTCTCGAGGCCTAAGTGCCAGGAGAAAACGCTCAGCATGCTCTCTGGGCTGCTGCCCAGAGGCTGAAGCTCGGAGCAGTGGGCTGCTTCGGGGCCAAGGACGCAGAGCTGGGGGCGGCCCGGCTACAGCGTCAACACGCTCTGCACAAGGCCGGGCCCTGTCGCGCTTCTGCCAAGAGTGCAGGGCACAGAGCGTCTCCAGACCCTCCTGAGAATTAAAAACACTTCAAGGGGGAGCTGGGCATGTTTTGAAGGCCCCAGGTTTCCCTTCGCTGTCCCACCAGGCTCCTGAGCCCAAGCTAGCAAATCAAAGAGCAGGTAGTCTGGACTCCACACCTCACTGCAGCACCAAATCAGAGGTGCCTTCGCGTGGGGTGCGGGTTGCGGGGCGCAGGAGGACAGGAAGCAGCCCTGGCCCGGGCAGCCCCGGAAGACCTGGCTCTGTCCGGCAGAGGGCGGCAGAGAGCAGGGCAGAGGGCCGGGCTCCCAGCCTGTCCTGCACGGGGTCTTATTACAGTTTTACACAGCCCAGGCCTTCCTGCGGTTCCTGCTTCAGGCGCTGCGGCTGGCTGGGAGGTGTGTATACAGGAGTCAAGTCCCAGGTAGGGGGAGCAACTGGGTCAAGTGACCCCCTGCACAGAGTCTCCTTCAGCAGCCCTGGCCTTTCTCTAAGCCTTTAAGAACCCGAACCCTTGTGCTCAGCACCAAGGTCCCAGATGCCAAGAGGGAGTGAATGAGGAGCCGTCCTTCAGGGTCATGGCTCCCCACACGGGCCGGCCCAGCGCCCTCCACGCTGCCTGGGGAAGCCACAGAAGCCTCGGCCTGGCCGAGGAGGCAGCACCTCGCCTCTGACCTCTGGGAACAAGGTCCCTCCTTCCTGTTCACAGCCCGGGGACGTGTCTTGTCCCCGAACACAAGTCCAAATTCACGGTGACACATTGTTAAGTGGAGTCTTCATGGCCTGAGGACAGAAGACAGGTAGGTAAAACTTCCAGTGGGCCTGCAAGACCGCTGAAGAGGTGGGCGGGCGGCCTGCGTTCCTGCCGCATGAGGCTAGACTGAAAGGGAGTCCAGGGACAGGGAGGTCCTGCCTGGGCAGACCCCCAGGACCGCTCACCGGCCCGGGCCCTCCGCCGGGAGAGGGGTGAGAGCACGCGCTTCCAGAACCGCTGCGCCGAGGGGGCCACAGAGCCAGCTACCCAGGTTCCTGCGGGCGCCATGGGCCGACTCCAGAACCCGGCCCCGGGGCATTCCCCGCTTCTAACACATCTTCCTGGCGCCTTAACATTTACCTCAAGGCACAACTCCACAGGCTTAAATTTTAACCCAACCAAATAAAATTGCATCGCCGCTCATCAAAATACGCATGTATTTATGAAATGTATCCTCCTCCGCCCTTTGACACGGCACTCAGAGAAAACGTGCACTGAACTGTCACAGACAACGGAGCAGCAGAGAGGTCCCAGTTTCACCAGGTGGTGACCGCCTCGCCGCCCCCATCCCCCAGAGGCGGTGACACAGCACGCGGAGGCACTTCGGCAGCAATGCCAAGGCCACCTCGCGCTCCCAGGTGCGGGCGCTCGGACAGGCTTACGGAGCCTCAGCGTCCCTGTTGCCTTGTTCCTGAACTGAACTGCACTAGGTCCCCGCGCTGGAAGTCTGGCCCCCACAGCACCCTGCCCAAGGCCACCTCCCCACACTCCCTCCCTTCTTAACCAGCAGAAGGCACTCCTCACCCGGAATGTTCCAGCAATAAGGGTGCAGCTGGCACCAAGGGCAGTTCAGGAATCCCCTTAACCAAGGCACCCTACCCGCACCCCCAACCAAGGTGGTGGTCTTTCGTGCAAGTAATTAACTACGGGTGTACGTTGGAGGTACTGCGGGCTGGGGTCCAGGCCACCGAAACAAAGCGTTGCAGTAAAGCGAGTTGCCATCTGCTTGCTGGCGGAGGGTGTCGCCCCCAGGTTGTAAAGAACACTGCCTCGTGCCTGCAGCTCAGGGACCCACTCGCTCTCCTGTCACCAGGCTGCTGTCACCAGGCTGGCGCTGGTGATGACCGCAGTGGCGCACAATCTTTCCCACGGAGCGAACGTAGCCTTACAATCGCAGGAGCGTCTGAACTGCAGGTTATATGTGCTTCTTGTCACAGAGGAGTGTGAAGCACAGTCAACGCTGACTTCCAGGTGTGAAAGCGCATCATGCCAGGATGGGACCCGTGAGGGAGGCGGGGCACACACAGGTCCAGGAGGGAGAGGGGCGCAGTCCACGCCCCCGCCCCCGCCTGTGTCTGGGAGGGCGCCGGGGCCGCAAGCCAGAGGGCCTCCACTGGAGGGTTTCGAGAGCAGAACTGCTATCTTGAGCGTCTATATTTACAATCTCCTAGAAATGACATCTTTTACAGCTACTTAAATGGGCAAGAAAAAGTTTAGATGTCAACTTGAAGCTGTGCTTATGGTTTTTTAAAGTTGTTTTACAGAACATGAGCAAAAATACAGGAAGGTGGCCCTGCCCGTGTGCGTGGCTCGGTGGGATGGGCAGCACCCCCCAAAGTGGAAGGCCGCCGGCTGGATTCCCCGTTGGAGCGCATGCCTGGAATTGGGGCCTCAGTCCGCAGCTGGGATGCAGTTGGCACGCGTACGAGAGGCAACCAACGGATGTTTCTCTCCTCTTCTTCCTCTTTTCTCCTCTCTCTAAAAATAAATAAATAGCCCTGGCTGGTATGGCTCAGTGGATTAAGTGCCGGCCTGTGAATCAAAGGGTCGCTGGTTCGATGCCCAGTCAGGGCTCCTGCCTGGGTTGCAGGCCAGGTCCCCAGCAGGGGGCGTGCGAGAGGCACCCACACATTTGATGTTTCTCTCCCTCTCTTTCTCCCTCATTCCCCTCTCTAAAAATAAATAAAAATCAATCTTAAATAAATAGAATCTTTAAACAACAATATATGAAGATGGCTGCTTGAGGGCTACATCGCTCTCAAACAGCCACAACTGAAGAGGCGGCAAGGCTGAGCGCGCGGCCCTGTCCCCTCCTGGTGGGCGCGCGCTCCCTAGGCCTCCTCCTGCGTGGGGCTGTCACACCCTCCCCTCAAATAGCTCAGGGAAAGGATTCCTTTCCCTTTCCAAACCAAAAATCATACTCTTCTGGGTAAATATATTTTCCTCAAGCGATGACTAAAATGTTGGCAACGAGGAGCTTATTTATTGTTTGCTGGCCTCGCAATGTCCACGGGGTCTCCCCAAGCTGCGCAGTGAGGCGCGCACATAAACGCGCCGCGACCGCCGCCTCCGGACCAGGCAGGCCGGGTCCCATGCCTCCTCCTCATCTGGCTGAAGGGTCTGCTGTGCATTTGACACTCAAGGGTTTCCTTTCTTTAAAATGGGAAGAATCTGATCATCAACCAAGCCAACTGGCTCCAGGATTCCAAGGCAAACCCCGGCAGAGCCCCTCCAGCGGCCACCAAGCTTGGAGACGCTGCGCAGCAGGAGCCCAGGTGCAGGGCCTTTCTGGAGGCAGGAAAATACCGCGCCTCTGGGCACGGTTTCAGGAATGCGGACAGCGGACCCTTCAGCAGCTTTGGGAGGATGAAAACACCAGGGACCCAGGCTGAACAATGCTCCCCTCACCTGGGCTCTGGGCCAAGCAGAGGCAGGCGGGCAAGGTAGCCGCGTTTAATAACCCGGAACGGCTCTGCCAATCCCTTCAGCTGGGAAGGGCCTGCCTGGGGACGGCCAGCGCTCTCGCTGCTGCCTCTGGGAGCAGAAGGCCTGGCACCATGTGTACCCTTGGGCTGGGGGGCGGAAGGGGCGGGCGGGCGGTGCACACAGACGCTTACAGGCTCGGCTATCCACCCTGTGTGACCTTTGTCTCGCCTCGGGTTCCAAGCCAGCCAAACACAACTCGGAGCCCTTCCCTCCACCTTCAGGCCTGCTTCATCTCCCGTAATCTCCCACAACACTAGAGCACGCAGACCTTGCTCCACGCGCTTCGAGGACGCTGCCAGCTCCACCAGCGGGGGCACAGACCATCCGCCTGCAGAAAGGCTACGGCCAGCCTCACTGGGACAGCCTGGAACAGAGCCCAGCCGCCTCTGGGGTCTGCCTGGCGTGGCTTTACTCAAGACAAGCACACCCGACAGGGGACACACCCGCGGCCCCAACCCGGGCCCCCGCACAAGGTCCACGCAACTCAATGGTGGGGCCTTGGGGAGGCGCAAGTTTAACAGGAAAACAAAGTGCTGTGGCCCTCAAAGTCTGTGCATGTTTTAATCTCCTTAGAACGCCTGCTCTGGAAGCCACTTGCCAAGTGAGCAGGGTCATAAGCACCATTAGGCCCCCCCCCAGACCTGCCTCGTACCACCCCGCCCCCCAAATGGCAGTGGGTGGACACGCTCTCGTGCAGACCCGTGGAGGCAGCTTGGCCAAGCAGGGACGCTTCCTTCGTGCGCATTTAAAAGTTCCACCACCTCCCAGTTCCCTGAAAGTGCCCGATTTCACAAAGGCTTAGCATTTGATACCCTTTAAAAAAAGTGGGGGGAGGCCACTTGAAGCACATTTTGAAAGTTCCACATCTAAAAAGATCCTTGTTCATTGATTTTGGTGGGGTAATTAAGCTAATCTAAACAAGGGGGCCTTGTCCGGGCACGGTGGGGGAGGGGCAGTGGGCCGGCCGCTGCCTGGAGCCCCCGCACAGCAGGGGCGCGGGCTCCAGGGGTCCTCTCCCACCCCTTCCCTTCTCTGTGGCGCTCTTCTCCCGGGAGGCCCTTTTCCTTCTCTCTGGTCAGATTTCCACTCAGCCAAGCTAAACTGCTCTCACGTTTCCCGGCCTGGAGCCGACCTAACGGCGCTGTGCTGAGCGCACGCACCTTCGCCAGGGCAGTCCCGCTGTGCTCACACCAACCTGGGGAGCCAGACGAGGCCAGCGGGAAGCAGCACCCTCCTTGTCCACAGGAGGAACACGGCTTCCAGCACATTCCAGCCCCACAAATTACAGGCTCGGCTCTGCCAGGGGTGTTTCCGAGGAAGGCACTGGCAATTTGGGGTTGTCTGCCACCTACAGCGCGCGCCAGTGGCCCTCGCTCTGTGCCAGCCCGCGAGGCTGAGTCACAAACCACCCCTGCTGGCTGCATGGGGCTGGGCTTCGGGGCCCTGGGACGAGACAGAGTGGACGGCGAGGACACAGCGGGCACCACACACGGTCAGGGGAGGACAGCGCGGCCCAGACCCCAGCTCGGCCCGCCGCTCTCCCACCCGCGTCCCTCAGGCAACGCCCGCTCTGAACACTAGCTGCGCCCCCACCGGGGACAGGGAAGCCACCACTGCCGCAGCAGCCCCCCCCACCCCGGCCTGCAGAACTGTCGGGGGGCCTGGGTCTCCGGCTCTGACAGGGCAGGGACCGACAGGCGTTCCCGGATGCCCCCTTCCCGCCTCTCCTCCACTCCAGTGAGCGAAGTTGGAGGGCAGAGAGCCCAGGATGTTAAAAGCCGCAAACCGCCTCGGAGCTCCCCCGGTCCAATCTCTGCTCAGCTTCCACGGCGCGACAGGGGCCCGGGCTGCAGCGCGCATTTCGGCCAAGGGAGCAGGCACCTCTCCCAGGCCCCAGGGAGCCCCGGAGCGGGCCCTGGGCAGCCTCCTCGGGAGACCACCGTCCACACCTACCATCACCAAACCCCTAATAAGCATTTCAAATGCATTGCAAATGAGCCACTCCTTTCCTTTCCAGCTGCTGCCTCTAAAAACAATTAGCCTGAATGCGGCTGAAATCCTTGCTTTTTAAGAGAACCTATTTCGCCACCCTCCCGGCATAAGTACTTGACTTCATCAGGCCGGGTCTTCCCACCTGGGGCCTGCATAGCTCCAGGCCTCTCTCCATCCAGCAGATTCTGCAAAACCTCCCTCGGGCGTTCAGTGAACTCGGAGCAGGAGGATGGGGGAGACGCTGCAGGGGAGGAAAGTGCGGTGTGCGCTCCTGTGCTGGGCGAGCGGCCTGGGTTTTCCCAGCAGAAACGGGCTTAGATTCTGGCAATCACTTGACCCTGTAATTGTTTCGATCGCTCATCTTCTGCACCCGCCTCCCTTCTCAGGCCCTAGGCTAGGAGACACCTCAGGAAACAGAAACTACAAGGCCCCTTTTGCTGGAGTCAGCTAAGGTATCAAACAAAAAACACCCTCAACACTCCCTAGGAGACCAAGCGCCCCTTCCCGCTCCTCCAGGCCACCTCCTCCCCCACCCCAACCTTATAGAAACATTGTGAAGTTAGCCAGGAGGCTGTGCTGTTTTTCAAACTGCCCCCCCCCCATTTTGACATCCCTCCCCAGGGAAAGCTGTGGGCTGGGGTGCTCCCTGGGAACCCAGGCAAGAGCAACACACCTTGGGGAGGAAGGGGTTAAGCCCCAGAGCTCTAGAAGGACGCGTCTAGGAGAAGAGAAACCCGGGCGGAGATGCAGAGAAAGTGAGGGGCTGGCTGCTCTCCTACAGGCTCAGGCTCGGGCGCAGGAAAGAAAGGTGCCTTCCAAGGTGCAGGTAGGACACACCCGCAGCCTGGGGGCAGCGGGCTCGAGGTCTGCGAGCACCCGCGAGCGTGCAGAGAGCGCGCGTGCCGGGGGCGGGTACCGAGAGCCAGCCCGCCGTCCAGAGGAGGGCTCCGGGAGGAGGGGCAGGGGCGCAACTCCCAGAAGTTGCGGCTGTCAGGCCGAGAAGGCAGGGCAAGGTCGGGACCAAAGGAGCGAGGAGCCGCGCTTCTCGGGGAGTAGAGAAAAAACCTAAGACGACTGTGGGGATGCTGCAGGGGGCGACGGGGCGCAGGGTCCAAGGGAAGTACCCACCTCAGGGTGGGGGCCCGTAGTGCTCCTGGAGGCTGATGGGATGGGGACGAGGAGGGGCAGGTGCAGCCCAGAGCGAGAAGGGAGGGAGTTAAGGATGAGGTCGGGTGTCCCGGCGGGAGGCGGCGGCCCGACCGGGCGACGGGGCTCCCTCCCTGAGGAAGAGACGCCGGGAGAGGGGCTGCGGCCGCGCGGAGGTGGGGGTGGGGAGGCGGCAGGTGCCTGGTGCCCAGGTGCGGGGCGCCCAGGTGCGGGGCCTGGGCCGGCGGGCGGCCGCTCACCTGTCTCCTCCGGCCGGGGCCGCGGGGGCGGCGGGGCGGCCGGGCCGAGCCGGACCGAGCGGGGAGGGGGGCGGCGGGGGCGCGGGGCCCCGGGCGCTCGGGAGTGGCGGCTGAGGCGGGGGCCCGGCGGCGGCTGCTCGTCGGCGGGCCGGCCGGGCGGTCAGTCACCTAGCGACTGAGACACGGAGGGAGCGCTGCGAGAATGCGGCCGGCGCGCTGGGACAACGCCGCTTTATCGGGTCGGAAACAGCCGCCGCGCGCCGCTTCCGCTGACGCAGCACAGGCCTGAGCTCATGACTATGCAGCAGCCGCCCCGGGAGGCCGGGGCGGGGCCTACACCGCGCGGGCTCATTGGCAGCCTGTCGCCACGCCCACCTCTCCGCCCCGCC